TCGATGGGGACGATCTCAGTAGCAATTTAGGAAAAATACAACGAAATATTCTGCATTCTCTGTACTGCTCCTGGGATTGTCCTCTCCGTACCAATATGTTCAGTATTGCTACACTACGGATATGATCGATGGGGACGATCTCAGTAGCAATTTAGGAAAAAATACAACGAAATATTCTGCATTCTCTGTACTACTACTGGGAGTGCTCTCTCCGTACCAATATGTTCAGTATTGCTACACTACGGATATGATCGATGGGGACGATCTCAGTAGCAATTTAGGAAAAAATACAACGAAATATTCTGCATTCTCTGTACTGCTACTGGGATTGTCCTCTCCGTACCAATATGTTCAGTATTGCTACACTACGGATATGATCGATGGAGACGATCTCAGTAGCAATTTAGATTGGTGCAGCATGCGAACTGACTAATAACATAGATGCGAGTAGGATGTTACCAATTTCCCCACCAGGAGGCTCATTTGGGTCAGATAACAGAAGTAGAAAATAGTAGAAAATTCCCTTTAACTTAAATTGCATCTGTTTTAGTGGTTCAATTTTCATATAACCCTTATGTATCTAATAGTTTATATGAAAATTAAAATATGTCCAGTAAATGGCAATGTTATCTGACCAATACAAGAAAATATATTTCACTTTTTGTGATTTTGTAACATGGGGTCTACGGGGAATCAACCCGAACAAGAAGTCACATTTTCAAAACAAATTTAATTTTCAAAGTTGATACTGTTAACAATTTTCGTAACCATATTTCTAGATGTAACTTTACACGTAGATTTCAAATATGACATCAGTTTGACTGATTTTTGAATATTTAATGACGCAAATCAAGATTATTTCTACTCGCACCTAGTCTATTGGATTGCTTCATTTTACAGATAACATATACTGTATATATTTTTTATTTTTTTTATTCAATTTAACTTTTAACATATGTACAAATACATGAATAATACAGTTCAATTATAAAACAAATTGATCTAAAAATAGTATGAAATGCCTAGCGAAGAATGAAGCATGATTACAATTTGAATGTTCATATACATTAGCGAAAAATACAATGTTGCAAGCTATTTTTGACTTGAAGTTCAGATTTATAAAGAGATCGGCCTTTTCCGAGAAAGCTATCCAGTTTGAAAAAACAGTGTAAGCAACAATAGTCAATAGTAAGTCTCTGAACATTGAGATCTTGTTTTCATGGATTTTTATATTGCCCAGTACAATGTCCTGCCATCTGATATTAAGTTTTAGTATTTTTTTCAATTTTCTCCCATATTGGTTTTATTAATTCACAGTCAAATAGCAAATGTTTCATATCTTGCGTCTCTCTACATTTAATACAATTTCTATTTACACCTTCATGCCAATTAGAAACCATTTTGCCACAAGCAATGGTATTATGCAGAAGTTTAAAGTTAAATTGAGCAAGAATTTTATAAGACACATTATTTATCTTCCTTTCATAAACTCGCTTAAAGAGACTATTGCTA